AAAACACTGAATGCTCTCTGGTATGAGGAGGCAGGCCAGATCCGGCATTGTTCAGGGGGCCAGATCAAATGACGTGGCGGGCCAGATCTGGCCTGCGGGTCGTAGTTTGGGGACCCCTGGTTTAGGCCTTTGGTGGAGGTTTGCTGTTGTGGGAGGGAAGTTTTCTTGGCCTCTTCTGAGATGTGGTGGATTTGCATTCACCTTGTTGACTCTATGTCAACAATAACTGAGGCAAAAAGGTGTCCAAACTGATACCGACTGGTGAAACTAATGAAGTGGCAGTGTGTGCAACAACTGAATTCGGCATAGTTTCTTCTGTTCAGACTTTTTATAACAAAACCGGATACATCTGGTATGCAAAGTCATGGATTTAGTCAGACTGACGAGTAAGGGTGAGCTCTACCTCTTGTATTGCACATGAAGTTATACCACAGCAAGGCAACTTTTTTGTAAATCAACAGTTCTCATTTTCATGTGAAATACCTAATAGTTATCTCGCTCCATATTGTCCCATGATCATCTACATCTTTGTCACTGGGTTCTCTTCAAAGTCCAAAGATTGCTGACCCACCATTTATACATTGCTATAACTACATTAGCACCATCTTATAAAATCCATGCTTTCTTTCATAAACACACGTTTAAACTTTAGTTGAGTCATATTCTGCCTGCTAAAACTGATTTCACACATCTGTTCACAATGCTATATACTAATATGGTATTTTGAAGGTATGGCACAAAGGTTCAGTTTTCTTTAAAGAAAACTTCGCAGGGTGTAATGAGACGTTTGACTTCATGTTTCCATCTCTTCCTGCAGACCTGTGTTTTGGGAAGCAGCTGTTTAACAAAAAAAAAACAACAAAAAAAACGTCTTTGGTATTTATCCTGCTGGTTTTCACAGAGAAAACCAGAAACACCAGAACACAACAAACTGCTAAAAAAGAGGGGATTTACCATTAATGTTTCCCTAGTAAGCAATCAAGCTGAGCAAGTGACCATCTTCAAGTAGTATTTGACTAACCTGCATGTTCCAGTAACATTTTAGCGATGTCCAAGTGTCCGTTCAGGAGGGCATCGTGCAGCGGACTAACTCCGGCCACCTGGTCAGTGAGGACAGGGGCGGGGTGGTGATGGAGCAACGCTCTCACACACTCAGTGCTGCCATGGTTGCACGCTTCATGGAGAGGAGTCCAGCCTGCATGGTCTACCAATCACACACAAAGCACAGTGTTTCACAAAGCAAGCACACAAACAAAGCTCGCCTAAGCCGAAATTTAGAGACAACATCATGTATGAGCTTTAAAACTGAATATGCTGAATTGATAAAAGTATAAAGAAAAAAATGATACCTAAACTGTGCTGTTATTTCGTTTTTCTCATGACTTGTTTTGTAAGACAGCCCAAAACATATGAAGCACAACGTCTTTAGTATCAAATACGAGTGCCTAACAAAAGTCTCATGAACATGATATTGATTATTAATGTTCTTTTCAAGTCCTCTGAAGGTCCAAAACCTCAAAAAGCAGAATATATTTCTATAGAAGACATTCTCACACAGATGGTCTCTTTTAGCCATTCAAACGGAAAACAAAAAAAAAAGAAATTTGATTTTTTTGGGGAGGAGAAAACTTCAAAAAGCTTTATAATTTATACAATAGCTTTGCTTGGTCAGGTGTTGAAAATCAGGCAGATGTTGAGATACCACCTTAAGCAGTCTTCTAACACCAACCAAAACATCAGAAATTCCTTTGTTAGCTGCACATTTGCATGAGAGAATGACAAGTTCTTATGTTTTACCAAAAGTCATTCTGAAACATCAAAAGGCATTGCGTTCGCTCATCAAGGCTGATGTAAAGCTATAATCATAGGGAGCCCCAAACCCACCCCTCTTTCTTTCTAGACACACCCTTTACATTTCAGCTAAAGGTTAAACCTCGGAGACGGCGCACTCCGATTCCTTAGCTCCTTTTCTTCCCCCGTTGTCAGTCGCTCTTCGAAAACCCCAGAACAGCCGGCGCGGCTGCAGGAACACGGAGAGAGTTTCCAAGAAAAACGGAAACGCGAGGGAGTCTTACCTTTAACATTGACGTCTGTGCCAGGAAGCGCCAGGATCTGAAGCACCGTTTCCACTTGGTTTCTCTTGCACGCTCTGTGTAGGAGGGTCTCGCCTTCATCCAGGAAACACACACATACATACACACACAGAAATGGACAAACACACCGAAAAGAGAGAGAAGAGGCGGAAGAGAAGAGAGAGATCCAAAATTAGGGTGTGCCTGATGTCCTTCCCATAGTCCCCATGCGTAAGAAACACACACCAATAAAATACCACTGAAATGTCCCCAAACACGTAAAAGAACTGACCTAAAAAGTAAGACCCACCAATGAGGATGCGATTTAAGGAGTGATGAGAAAAGGGGGTTGATCTTTCAAGTGGGGGGTGGGGGGGGGAGAAGTGATGAGAGTAATATAAATTATAGATGAATAGTTCAGTTAATTTGCCTCGTTCTTTCCTCTGTAACAAAGATTTTCCAGCTACACACCCCTGACCAAAAATGTTAATGTCAGGGCAGACGGCGAGTGCATAAAAGGACTTGTGAGAAAGCAGCTTCCTGTCTGCTCGTTTCTGTATTCCTACTTGAGAGGAAGTTATGGTAGAGAGCCCACGCACAAAGGCTCTGAAAGGATTTTTCACAGATTTTGGGTTCAAAAGCTCCACTGGGCATTCCAAGTTTCACCACGTGATATTTATTCAGCAAAACTACCAGAGAAAAAGACAGTGGGGAAAAAAAAAAAAAAACCTCAAAGGATTCAATTTACATTTTTAAACACAATTTCCGTTCCTCTTTGAATTTGCCACTTTTTCTTGATACAATACAAATATATATATATATATATATATATATATATATATATATATATATATATATATATATATATATATATTAGGAGCAGGAGCCCCCTTTTTTCCATGTATGGCTGAACTTCAGAGAGGAAGCTAAAGGCCAAGCATGAGTGGCTGTATAATGCAGACTTGCAAAGCCTGTAATAAATGCTTTACTGGTTCTCCCCGGGATGCCTCCCCCAGAAAGGGGCACCACTCACACGCACACGGAGCAAAGACCGGGGCGAAAACGGGCAACGGGGATGGAAGAGACGCAGGGGTGAGAGAAGAAGGGGTGATGTAGACAGTAAAAGCATTTCTTTGCATTTCAAAGCCTGTCTGTATAATACCGTCTCTGCTGGATCCTAGTCATTTTCAAGATCAGCCTTTGTGAATTAAACTACAGCCAATAATGCTTATGAGGAAGAAAAAAAAAAATTGTTCTCACAAAGGAGTATATCTTTCTCCGACTGACATGCAGGAGGAAAGCATAAAGCAAGAATGTTTAGTTTAAATTATACTAAATGGAGATTCATTTCACATAAAAAATACAGTTAAATTTACTTGGAAAAACTATTCAAAACTGAAAAAAGTAACAACAACAAAAATTGGTGTACATTAGTTTTCTGCTTCAAGGTACTTTATCAAGATTTGATGTGACATCCAAACACAGGGTGATATGCATCTGTGCATATTTCTAAGATGGAAAATTATCCATATTTTAATTTTTCTTACCGATCCAAACATAAAACCTAAATAAAGACTCACTATGAACCAGCAGCAAACAGAAACTAGTGCTCTGCTGAGCCGGCCTACGAAACTGAAGACTGCATTTAAGAACTTCACGTATTTGACTGATTTATAAGCTGCAGATTCTGGCCTATATAAAGTTAGATTTGTCATATATGAATCGGATAAAACTTTAAAATCAGTTAAAGTACTCTGAGGCAATACTGCAACAAAAATGGATAAAGTTTAAAAGCACACCTTCCTCTGATAGATCACTATTGGAATAATTTGTTGCACCTTTCACATGATGAAAGCAGATGAATGAAATAATAAAAAAAATACCACGTCTGTAAAATGCAGAAAAATACACAAATGACTCAAAGAGCGCTACATCACTGTTGTTGCAAGGAACTATTAATAAAGCAAACTGACGTATCCATAAATTAAAAATAAAAAGCAGCCAAACAGACAATGAAAGCAAGTCCAAGCCGCAGTCCTTAATGAGTAAGCTTTAGAGTGAGGTATGTCAGGGTTTTAGTGGGCTGCTGCGCAATTACTGGGCACTAAAATGCTGTGATTAAACAACCGTTCCACTGCACCTTATGTGTACACATCCTCGCAAATGCCAGAACCAATCCGCGCAGTGTTAAATCACTTTAATGGCTCCAATTTGGACACAACGCCTCTATTATAGGGGTAATTGCATGCTCAGCATTTACAAGCACGGAAAGGATAAATCCGGCTGTCCTTTTCTATAAATCCCCCGTTTCACACTTTAATAGAAAAGTTAAATGTACGTGTTGCTGCTTTATATTCCCTCAGTCTGCTTGCTGTTCTCCTGTAAAGCGCCGTTTTGGCCCGCTGATCCTCCGGACCGAAAAGCTGCAGGGTGCCTGTAACAATGCCATTTGTCAGGAATGTGTTGGGGGGGGGAATTCTGTGGCCAGTTATTGGATGTATTTAAAACTATTTGAAGAGTACTATTGTCGCTGGCTCCAAGAGTCATGGCAGTGAAATAATTTCCCAAAGCCAAGATTAGTGCAGCTCCACTGGAGAGAGAGAGAGAAAAAAAAAAATAAAACTTTAACAGATATTAACATTTCGCAGCCAACAGTTCAGAAATCCACCAGTGCAAACGGAGGGCTGACTTGAAAAACAAAATGGAGCATCTGGACATCGTCCATGTCACGATCTTTGTACGTATGAAATAGATAGGTAAATTAGGAGTTACTCTCTGTACAGCACTCAAGAGCTGTAGATGTCTCCATCTTTCTTAATATGATGAAGTAACGTGGCACAAATATGGTTTTTCAGAGCAAATCAATCGCGCTCGTGCAGAAGGAGTTAATGCTGCAAGTCGATGCAATCTGATGAGTTTCCTAAGATAGAAAACTTTTTACCCTTTAACCTAACATTCATCAAGGATCCTTTGAATCAAAAATGTTTGCATGATTGAATAAAAACGACTTATTTTCAAAAGTGTCTTCAGATGCTATGCTGTGAGTTGGCACTTTATAAATAAGCTGAATTGAATAAGTGGCTTAAAGAAAATAAGACAGATAAAGGTCAGCATGCACACGTGGCCACAAAGAATATATCTTTTCAAAACCATCGAAGGACTTTGCTGTCAAAATATTACAATTCTATCTGAAGCAATAAAAAAATCTCGTCAAGAATAAGACAAAGGCGATACGGCTGTGGATATTGTGATCATGCAGGGACTATATAGCTCCAGACATGTTTTTTGTTCTGAGTTTTTTTTTTTTTTTTTTTTTTTTAATTTATCTTTTTTTTAAATTTT